AAAGAACAGCACATCCAATACGCATGTCTTCCAAACTTTTCAATGCTGGTTCCTATGTTGGTCTGTAAACAGCATATGTGGCATAACAGGCCTCCTTTGGCACTACATTTTCTCAACTGCTGAACTACTGTATGTATGTATGTACATACATACATATATATATATTTAAAATCTTCCTCTCTTTATTGATTCTTTAACTCATTTTCTTCCAGATTCCCACAGTGAAGACAATGGTGTTTGTGGTGTTCCTCATAGGAAACACAGGCTTCCTGGCTGCTTTCCTAAAAGCTATTGCATCTTTATAATCATGACAAATGATCATCAGCTATGAGACTATCTTGTTATTGTTGTATAAAATAAATACATATGTGTGTGTTATTAAAGGATGATTTTTCAGTGTTACTATGACAACTTTTGGTGCTCTGTCAGCCCTCGTGTATCAGACTATAGGGTGTGGATGTAGTGACAATATTCAAATGTGTTCACAACCTAGTTGTGTGATCACAAAAAAATACTTTAACCTACTGTTTTAAAGATAAAAACAAGTCCAAGAAACAAACTTATTAACTAAACTTTGAGGACCTGCCATGCAGACCTAATGTCTACAAATGATTGTACTTCACCTCCAGCTGCCATGAAGGAGAAGATGAGCAAAGACAAAATGGATGAAGGTCTCAGAGCGGTGACGAGGTTTGTGATGGAGGAGTTACAAAATGTAAATGTGTCACTGGTGTGTGATTATTGACAAGCATCAACCTCCAGAGCTGAAACATGAAGACAACACGGAGACACCACACACTGCACTTCCTCCCATGGTTGACCACCCCTCCCCCTGCGCACACACACTTTCATTATGTGCGTATGTGTTTATGAATATATATATATATGTACGTACATAAGAAAGTGCATGCATAACTGTATGTATATACACACACACAGTTATGCATGTGTAAGTGTTTCGTACCAGAATACACTGTAAGTGCAAGTGAAGTCTTCAGTTTTGGTCTGGGCAGCTTCTCATAGTTAATGTGACAGGTGTGGTTGTCATGTACCGTCAGTGTGTTACCTGCAGTAGATTCTGATCTGAGCTGCCAGTTCAGAGAAGCAGCCGGGAGCAGCAGTATGTTCCTGCAGCACCTGTGGGCGGGGCCAGCAGAAAACACCTGTTTCACACACATTTAAAAAGTGGCCACAGAAACAATCCAACATCTGTTTAAATGTAGCTCCACGTAGAATATTTTCAGCCTTTATCTTCCCATCAAAACAGCACTTTCCTTTGGTACTACATTTTCTCAACCGCTGAACTACTGTATTCCTCCGCAGCCACGGGTCAGCTGAGTGAATCAGACACAGGGTCTGGAGTCAGGCTGCAGTCTGACTGGATCCCTGTTCTGCAGGAACATGATTATTGTTGTTAAGTTTGTATTAATGTATGTTTTACTCAGGGATCATGTTATCCAACCCTGGTGAACATGCACGTAGTAAAAACTGTACAGCTGAACCATTAAAAGTTATAAACTTATTCTTATTATCACCTTTTTATATCTTCTATTGTCAATTTGCCTGTTTTCGTCCCTGCATTGTTAAATGTTATGCATCAGACCAATTCAACTTACTTCACTATAGACCTGTTTCTGATTCTGATTGCACTGGCTGTCTCCATTGTCATGAACCTAACTCTGGACATATGTATTTACATGGTATTCTAATTAATGTATTCATTTAATCAGAACAAATGAGTCTCACGTCAAGCATCAGACTACACTAGTGAAATAAAATAAGGAGTTATGTATCCACACAAGTAAATAAAGGGGTATTGTGTCATTAGTCTCTGTCTCTCTCTGAAGAAATTCTATAAAACAATCACAGAAGACACACTGTAAACTTCTTCTTCTTTCACGAGTCTCTCTCTCTTCCTTCTGCTGAGTGTGAGCCACTCGGACTCAACCTTCCTCTTTGCTTGAGACCTAACTTCTCTCAGGAGAGTCCACTGCTGCACCGATTGATGAGGTGAGGTGGGTTTATAGAAAGTCTCTGCCCCATCACCTCATCCACAGCATCAAACCACTTCCAGTTTGCAGCAGTGGCCTCTCCTCCCTCAGAGCTTGCAGCAGTTCAGTTCCAATGAAACATACACAGCTGATAATCATTTATTTAGCTAAGCTTTCCACTACTAATCATTCAAATTCATATCTTATTACCCAGCTCTAACTTTGCCTGATTATTCTGACAAAAGTAAACATCAAAAGTCAGATTTTGTTTGTGCTAAACATCAAGACTGTAGTGCTTTCAACACTTCAACTCACCTTCTTCTTTGCTCATCCAGCCTCCTGTCCTCCCTCCAGCTCCTTGATGAACATCCTGTACAAGCATAACATTGGTCAAACTGGTATAAACGTTTGACAGGGGATAAGCATTTAAACAAAAATAAGACAGCTATAGTCATTGCAATGATCCCTTAACGATTTAAGTTGCTGGTCTTCAGCAAAATATGAACGAAAACAGTAATGCCAGCAGTAACTGTTTCTGTCCATATTTTGCTGGTGACCAGCAGCACCAACTTTAAGTGCTGCTTATCAAGAGAGTGAAGAGGGAGACACGGAGGCCACGCTAACTGCACCAAGAATGAGCAGCTAAGGTGTCAAACACATCACCACCTGCTTTACACACCAAAGTAAAGGTGATACTAACAACCCAGTTAAATGACGTCAGAGGCAGGTTACTTCATGAAACTTGGGCTTTCACTGAAACATAAACAAACAGGCAGTAAATCGATTTCAGTCACTCTGACCATTTAACGTTACACGATGTTGCTTCCTCTCATCTGTGTTGAATAAACACCAGGTATAGCAGGTAAATATTTAGTGTAAAACACAAGGAGCTTGTAAACTTCCAGCACTGTACTATGGGTCTCAATTCATTACATTTCATGTAATTAATCACTATTTTTTACATAACCTGCAAACAAATGAACAAAAGCAATAATAGACAGGATTTTCTCAGGCCACATGTACTATTAAATTAATTATTAAAAATGAATAAAAAATAGGCATGGATGAGTTGATGACAATAACATCAGTTTATAAACCACATTAGTAGTATTTTCTCCTGGGAGATCAATGAATTTAATATTAGTCTTATATTTATAATATTTTTTAAAAGGAATTTCAAAAGATTTTTTAAAATCTTTATTATTTATAATATTATATCATAATAAACTCTTTATTATTTGTACTGTATTATTTGGTTGTATTATTTCTGTTTCAAATGGCCGCAATAAATAACACATTAAAATCTCTAAAGAATGCTCATGTGATTTAATACATCAGTAATCTTATTAAATAAATTGATGCATAATAATCATGAAACCGTAATTATTCCTGACTATAATCATACCATCAAAATCTATAGCATCCCTAGTTTACACCCATGCATCATTCAGTTGCAAAATAAAACAACAGAACGTAAACAACATAATGACAACACGAGTTAATTTTCCTTACTAAATCGTTTCATGGCAGCATTTCTCCTGACTGTGAACCTCTACATTCTCAGCTCTCCAGTGTCTTCATCAGTCCCGATGAACGAAGGCGTTACTCATCACAGTTACTCATCACACGTCCACATTGACAGTAGGGAAGCAACAGATATAGATTTTTGATGGTACGATTATAGTCTGAGAAATAACCATGGTTTCAAGAATATTATGCATTAATTTATCTAACAAGACTACTGATGTATCACAAGGATTCTTTAGAAATTTTAATGTGTTATGTATTGCTGCCATTTAAAATAGAAATAATACAGCAACCAAATGTTACAGTACAAAAATAATAAAGATTTTATTATAATATAATATTATAAATACAAGACTAATATTAACTTTATTGATCCCACATATCTTACCCCAGGGTAAAATATTACTAATGTGGGTTAAAAAAGGAAGGGTTATTGTCATCAACTTATTCATTTTTATAATTTAATGTTACATGCAGCCTGAGAAAATCCTTTCCATTATTGTTTTTGTTCCTTTGTTTGCAGGTTTAGTAAAAAATTGGTGATTAATAACTGAAATGTAATGAATTGAGACCCATAGTACAGTGCTGGAAGTTTACAAGCTCCTTGTGTTTTACACTAAATATTTACCTGCTATACCTGGTGTTTATTCAACAGACGGGAGGAAGCAACATACGGTTTACTGCCTGTTAGTTTACGTTTCACTGAAAACCCAACGCTTGCCACAGATTATAAGTGACATGTTTATATTTAATTCTTAACAACTCAATGTTTCACGAAGTAACCTGCCTCTGACGTCATTTAACTGGGTTGTTAGTATCACCTTTACTTTGGTGTGTAAAGCAGGTGGTGATGTGTTAGACCCTTTAGCCGCGACAGGTTTTACAGGGTTAGGTCGTGGCCCTGAATAACTTCCGGCTCATTCTTGGTGATAGCGTAGATAGCGTAGATAGCGTGGATAGCGTGGATAGCGTAGATAGCGTGGATAGCGTGGATAGCGTAGTCTCCCTCTTCAATCCCTTGATAAACGAGGCACTTAAAGTTGGTACACCACTGCTCTAACTGTTTTCGTTCCTTGCAGGTTGCGCCAAAACTTATGTACCGGCAAATTGTCCCTGAGTGAGAACAGACACCCCCTCGGTGTGGCTGAGCCTTTACGATGACATGACCGTGACATTTTAGAGCATGGTTAATAGTGAAACCCCTTAACCGCTGCATCCCTAATGGACAGCTCAGTAGTAGCTCCGGTGTCATTAGCCAACTCCCTAACCTTCACGCTAAATTAGCATGTCGGCTAATAGTGCAGTCGAGCGGTACACACAATTCCAACAACAATGAAGATACGTTCATTATGAATAAAAACTCGTCTTTCAAATAACTCTAACCCTCACAAGCCATACAAGTATAACAAACTGGTTACTCACCTTTGTACACGACCTGTTGGTGACTGGTGCCATGAGCTTCCGCCTAGTAGCCCGCCATTGTATTTTTGAATAGCCGCAGTGCATCATGGGACAGTTAAGTATGTCCAGTATGCTCACGGCGCAAGCTCAGAAATTCTTGCTAATCTAATGTACGCCCGGATGTTTCTCCCGTACACAAAATTCACACGCCATGCAGTTGTAACATATTTATTTTGACGTCACATTTAGTATGAATATTACGTTAGTAGCCGGTTCCGAACACAGCGTCCGTTTCTGCCGGTCAGATCAGTAGTGCAGCATCATACGCATGCGCAGACGTATGTGGAAACTAAACCTGCGCTTGGAGACGCAGCAGCACGTAGAGGAGCTAATGACACTGAGTTATCATCTCTGTGTGAGATCCGCTGTGAATATACAGCTTACTTCTGCCTATCTGTAAAACTCACCACACACCACTGGTTAGCAGGTGTCAGTGTCTGTGCGCACCATAATTGGTTAGTTAGTGGTTTGGTTGTCTCCTGTGTTGTGTGTTTTGCTATTTGAGGTAGCGTGTCTGTGGGGCATGCTGTGAGGCTGCCGTTAAGTGTCGATTATTGTTGGAAACTGTTTTGGGACCACAGGTGGAGTACAGAAAGAGAAGTGTGGCTACTGTTCATCGCACTCAGGCGAACAGGAGACACGGTTACATTTACCTACACAAACCGCTGTGGTGTTCTTTATCGTGTCATTGTGTTTTCTTAGATTAGCTTCCTCAATTTAGCTAGGCGGCTGATCTGTTTCAAGTATCAGTAGCAACAGTTTATTTCTGTGCTCATGTGACCCCAAGACAGTTTCCAACAACAACCACACTTTACGACAGCTTTACAACTCAGGGGACACACTACCTCAAACAGCAAAACACGATAAACACAGGAGAGTCTGCTACATTACCACAGCTCGTTAACTAGCTAATTAGCCAACAAACAAATTAGCCTTGGAGCAAGACTGAAATAAAGCATTACCATACTCACCCTGATAATTCTGTTGACTCATTGACTGGGCAGCTGATCCAGCTGTGGATGTCCATACTCCCAGATGATTCATTATGTTTTTGAAGATCTTAAGATCTTTTCTCTGGCATCATCAAAGCTGCATTTTCGCTTGTGCACAAAAACACATCTGAACATCTGAGCCAGACTTCAATGGAAGATCAACCATTTGTATTCTGGTTCTGCAACTTTTCTCTGTTGCCTCCCTCAGGCTGAAATTTCCAGATACACAGGACATCTCATAATGAGCAGAGCATGTTACAGTATGTGTCCAAACATAAAAACCAGCCAACACTCTTCATATACATATTTTATTGTTGCACTAATCTCTTCAAAGCTTGCATGAGGAATACAAAGTGAAAAGCTCCAGGTTGTTTAGTCACAAAGAGCCCAGTAAATCCACGGCGGGAGCTTTTCACATAGTGTTTAAACATCAGCAAGTAATCCTGGAGATTTCAAAGCTTATACTGTAACAATGAAGCATACAAACATGAAATGTAAAACAATGCTGTTTAAGGTCGGCTCAATCTAAGGTCAGGAAAGTACCAAGCTCTTAGAGGCTGCTTTTCAGAGTAGCTGGAAATATCAAGGCTTTGTAAATAATCATCAACATTTCTTTATTAAAATCAGCTGATTCCAGTGTTTTTAAGAAAATCCCTTTTGAAAATGTTGTGTTGTGCTCATGCAATTCACACTAAAGGGAAAAGTGCTTTAGAATAAATACTGGCCTATAAATGTCCTGTCACATAAAAACTGAAAGAACAGCTGATTGTTGGAAAGTTAAGTCAGAATTTGAACATTTACAGGAAGTGTGAGTGTGAGAGTGTGTGTGAGTAACTGTAGCCTCACTGTGTATAAATCAACATTCATTTATAGAGCTATTGTATAAAGAATAAAATACTTTAATCTGTGGAAACTTATTTTATCATTATTATTATTTTATCCACATTCCTCGTAGTCTCATTGGTTCTCCAGTTTCGAGTCCAGTGATCCCTGTAGATATTGGATTGTCATTCAGAATAATGTGCAGCTCGTTCAGGCACTCTGAAATGTGCATTAGTATTTATTCTCACGGACATTCACTGTCTGAGCTTTCTGTTGGGGTGAACAGTTATATGTTTTCTATATTGTGCTGATTTATTTCCGTCCAGCTCACCCTGAAATATCATTTGCAGCAAAAAAGCATAGTACGAAAATACAGTTAATATACACTGAGCAATGTAGCATTTGCTTCATCAAGACGTACAATAACATCAAAATATGTTTTCAAATCTGATTTACATTTATAATGTCCAGAAAAGTTTAGCAAAGAGTCGACTCAACAATACAGTTTCTAACATTCAGGCATCTCAGCAAAAAAAGCTCCTAAATACTTTCAGTTTCCTCTCAGCAAAAATCATCTTTCACATAAAGTAAAGGTTTTCACACAATAGTCTCATGTCACGTGATGTTGGAGGAGTCTCTGACAGCTGTAATCTTTCCCTGTGGACATGAATCAATCTCTGTAAAGAGCTGCTCTCAGATCCTCAGTCCCTCTGTGTAAATGAGTTGTGGCGTTCAGCTCGTGTCTCACTGCGCTGCAGCGGAGGGAAACCTCTGAAGCAGCTGCAGGTTTACTGCTGGTGTCGTGTCAAAGTTTCCCCTTCAGCTAAAAGCTACGCTAACCATTATTTTTATATTTACATTAATGACTCATACGAAAGGTGTCGCACAAAGAGTTAGTTTCCTCAACTGTGCAGAACATTTTAGCATCTTTCAGCTCATTGTTTTGGATCAGTCAGCTGTTTTCAGATCAGTCCACTGTGCAACCTGTCCAGCTCCACACAACTCAGTGACTCAGACCAGCAGCTCAAAGCAGGTGGAGACCAAAGCAGAGCTACAAGAAGAGCGAATATTTGACTTCAGGTGGACACAAAACTCCAAATACAGTCTTCTGTTTCTTTTGCAACTGCGAACTGACACGTTCTCCATAACCTCTAGATCAGTGGTTCCCAACCTGTGGGCCGAAGCCCCCTGCTGGGTCGCAAAGGTATTGCAAGTGGGCTGACAAATCTTTTGCTAAACACAGGTGAAAATGTGTAAGTGTAAAATAAATAAATAATTTTTAAAAAATGTTTTAAAAACGAAATTAACTTTTAAAACATTAATAAAGTTGTTATAGTTTTTTTCTTTTGTCTCATATTAATTCCTATCACTGATAAACCAATGATAGGAACTTATGTTGTCCCTAGTCGGAGCATTTCATTCACTTGTTCAGTACCTCAGTGTGATTGTGCGCTAACATCACATTCATGGAAGAAACTGGAGAATCCAAACAGCTGGTTAGAAACAGGAAGAGTTAACAGAGACAGATGGTGAATCAGTGATCGCTCCTCTGTCAGACAGAAAAGAAACACTGAGCCTCCTGTTTCCAGTTCATCCTGACGGGGTCATGAGACTGTTACAGGGTCGGATGTGACCGTTCAACAGTTTTGAGATTTTCAAGTGAGTTGGAAAAGGTTGAGAACCACTGATTTGGGTTACACTGTCAGTTTTTTATTGGCGTTTCCTGCTGCCCCCCAAAAAACAGTCATCTGAGTGGCTCCAAACGTCGACCTAACAACAACATGAACTCTGTTTGACACAGCGTTATATACCAGTAAACCTACAGTCAGTGGCCTCTTGATGTGTCTAACTCATTGCTGAAGCATCGTAGTATTTTCACCCTCTGATTACAGTGACCATTAACTCCCTCTACACATGTCATGTGATTACTGTGTTTATAATAAAGGCCCAATCAGGTTTCAGAGAACACTTTAAACCTCTCTTTTCCTCCAGTGGCAGTTTCCTGAGCGTCAACAGGCCAGGAAAGATCCAGGAGGAGGCATGCACTCAGTGAATATTATTGCATGACACATCAGCTGTAGACCGAGTTATTCTTCATACCTCCACTGGTTTCTACCACAGCTGCTTCCCACAGTTCACAATATTGTTTATTGATAAATTATTGATAGATGGAAAGTGTGCGTTTGAGCGTTTGTCAATCCTGAAATAAACTTTACTGCTACATCACGTAGCAGCAGCTGTAGCTTAGTAAGAGCTGAAACCAGCAGCCTTCCAGCTTCACAGCTACGACTTGGTTCAGATGATGAGGTCAGAACTGTGGGTGTCAGATAATAATGTAAACCCTCTGTTATAACACTGTTATCAGTTCTCTCTGAACTGTAACGTGACCGCGAACGTTCTCACTGTTTTGCTATTTTTGCCCAAAGCGTCACAGAAGCAGAGTTTATGTCACAACATGAAACAAACAATTGCAATGCTGAATCTAACTGGAATGACAATAACACTGACGGTCGATGCCCTTATATGGCAAACGCTCGACTCGCCCCTCCTCAGTCGTTTTTTGTAAACTCTCCCGCCTCCCAGCGCAGAGCCATGGCGCTCTTACGTCGTCCTCCTGTGTAGACGTCTGGAAACTGAGAGAAACAGCTGACTGTTTACCTGCTTTCAAAGCACCTCCTCCTCCTCCTCCTCCTCCTCCTTCACCTCCACCTCCACCTCCACCTCCACCTCCTCTCTCAGGTTATTAGACTGAAGGTGGAACAAGTAAATCAGTTTTGCATGGAAATATTTCTGTAGATTTACCAGGCTACAGATTTTAATGAAGGTACATTTGACTTTTATGCAAAACAAAGTATGAAATATTATTTTGTGGAACCACTTTATAATCAGACTAAAGGATTTACACATTTCACTTTTATTTTGACGGGTTCATTTTACTTCCGGTTCCACCCTCTCTATTGATTTCAGTCTGTGGTCTTTAATTCACAAGGAAAAAACTAATAATGGGGGCGTCGTGTGGCGTCGTGGTCTAAGCAGGCGCCCCATGTGTAGAGGCTACAGTCCTCGCTGCAGTCGGCCCCGGTTTGAGTCCCGCATCGGACAGCCTTTGCTGCATGTCATTCCCCCTCTCTCTGCCTCCCCATTTCCTGTCTCTCTCTACTGCACTATCAAATAAAGGCATAAAAAGCCCAAAAAATATACTTAAAA